TTGTTTTGGGGTGTGGGTTCACCCCCCCCCCCCCCCAAGCCTACAATTGTTTTCATACACCTGACCCGCTATTTCACCCGCTCGGGAAAACCCAGAGCGCGGCTGATACCGAGCCCCAGCGAATGAGACGAGGGAGAGGAAGGGAGCCGGAGAAGTTTAGGAAGAAAAGTGTGAAATAAAAAAAAAAAAAAAAAACCACCAGCCCGAGTCTTTAGAAAAATCCTGAATGTCTGAACGTGCGTATGTGTGTGTGTGTGTTTTCCTTCCTGCCAAAGCAGGATGTCAAATACTGTCCTTTCCCCCTCTTTCTTAAAGCAGGCTAAAAGGAAAATTCTTCACAGAATCTTAAAGAACTTTTTGACACAAGAGCTGCAAAATCTATTTTCTAAACAAAGATTTATACATATTTATATGAGCTTAATCCAGATTTTTTTTTAATAAATCATTCTCAGAACTGCAGAGGTAAACTATATGTAAATACCTCAAGTAATAGGCTTGTAGTGCAAATCACATCATTTTATCTTCAATTTTGCATTCGTTTTTCTGGCTTAAAGGTGCATCAGAGATATGCATTTTAGCATATTCAGAACACGGGGCGTGAAATTAAATGTTTGACAGAGTGAGAAAAATATACAGACTTTGGAGATGCCTTAAAAATAGTAATTTATGCAGATCTAGAGGAGTGAAATCATTTGCAATGGAGTGACCCTCTCTCCAGGAATTTTTTGCTCAGTGTTCTTCTCTAATCTCCTGCTGTATCTTCATTTTTCATTGAACTAGCCAGTTTTCTGCGAAGCAGTCTTGTAGATAAGGGAAGTGCTAAAAGAAGAAGAAAGAAGAAGCTCAGTGGGTCCGTTTCCATTGCACTTTTACCCAAGGCAATGGGCAGAATTTAACGGATTCCTTCCAACATATGTTTTTGCCAGATAAGTAAACAGTGTGTGTCGGAAATGAAAAAGCATTTGCAATTTAATGACATTACAGCTCTCAGCTTAGGCTGGCGTGCTGCGAGGCGAAAAGCAGAAAGAGAGAGGAGAGTAGAAAGAGAAAAAGAACAAAGTTCATCTTCCCTTTTGTGCATTTTTATCAAGGAAAATATTACTTCTTTCCCCCTCTTGTTCTCTTTTCTTTTTCCCTTTGCTTTTTTGTCTCACTCATTTACATTTTTTTCTTTTCTCTCCTCTGTTCACTTTTACCTTTTTCTTCCACGGCCACCGACTCGCTTCCTTTCACCACCCCCCCTCCCATTGTGTCGCCTTATTCATCTATCCGGCCCATTCAGTTTTTACCTATAAGGAGCTGTTTATCCAACAGTGTATCTCTTTTTTTTTTTTCTTTTTTTTTTTTCTCCCCCCAAACATACTCTGCCCTGACCATGCAGCGGTTCTTCTTTTCTCCTCTTACTCACGTTCCTTTCTGATGATCAGC